CCTAGACCTCAGTCTATACCCTCCAACCCCACCAAGATCACGTCACAAGTACAATCCCCGTAGACTTTACAAATGCACAGAGGCACCAAGTCAGGGCTTACGGTTCTAGCTCCATTCATGCTTCAAATCCAGTTCCCTAGTAATTCAGGCTAACTTAGGCAGGGGTGAAGGGTGATACATCCTTCCCCAGGGAAGTAATCAATGTTGTCCTTCAGGCCTCCACACCACAAGGGGGAGGAGCGTGAGTGTGTACATCTTGTAATCTTTTCTGACTTGCCGGTGGAATAGGAACCGGACTGACGCTCCCCAGAATGGAAATGGAACCAGGGCCAATAGGACCTGTTTCAACCGGAAAAAAAAATAAATAAATAAAGGGCCCACAACTCGTTTCTGGTCAACCCTTGCATGAGTTGCGGGTGTAGCAGGGCTGTCTCCACATCTGCCGGTTCCAGTCTCAGGGCTCTTGCCATACTGGCAATTGTGTCGTCGCCTGTTTGTGAGGGTCCAGCCGTCCCAGCCCGCCCACCCTTCTGGGCTACGTGAGTTTTTCCCACCTGACCCTGTAAATCAGGTGCGGCACACAGGGATTGTTTTTCCATAGGTACTTCCTCAGACTTGTTTTGTACTGTCTCCACGCCCTCTTTCCAGGCATTGACAACGGTGCTGCATACCAGAGCGTGGAGGAGACCGCATTGTTCGCTACCAGCACCCGACCCAGTAATCCCACGTCTGTTGTCCCTGCCCATCTGTTCATCCTTGTAAGCGCCTCGATGAGCAGGTTCTCCATTTGTTCTCCACTGGTCAGCGCCGCCGGAAGCAGGATCCCCAGGTACCTGGTGTTCTCCTGTCCCTGCACATTCGCATGTCCGCCCCTTTCTCCTCGTGCAACATTACCATCGACTTTCGCCAGTTCACCTTGGCTCCTGCGTGTATTTCGAAGTTGTGAACCTGCTCCCTAACAGCCCGTACCGCCGTTTCAGAGCATTCGACGAAGGCAGCCGTATCATCCGCGAAACTATTTGACTTTAGCTCCCTGGAATCGGGGAGGCAGAGTCCCCGGATCCTCCCGTCGCCCCGTAATATATCATGCAAGTGTTCTACATACAAGATGTAGAGTGCCGGTGAGAGGGGGCATCCTTGCCTAACTGATCTCGTGACCCTCATCGGTTGTGATCGGAATCCATTAATTTGTACCGTTGCTGTTGCCGAACCCAGCAGGTCCTGGACTGCCAGTCTGAATCGTGGCCCTATCCCCCTCTTCTCCATTCCTCTCAGGAGGAATCCCCAGCGTACTCTGTCGTACGCTTTCTCAAAGTCCAATAGCAGTACTGCCAGCGGCGGATCGCTCTCCTCGGCCCGGCGTAGCACCTCCCTCACCATGATGACATTGGTCAAGATCTGTCTGGTCGGTACAAAGCCGGTCTGGGTGGGGTGCACCAAGTCCGGGAGCACCTCGGTTAACCGATTGGCCAACACTTTGGCGTACAGCTTGTATGGGGCAGAGAGCAAAGAGACCGGCCTCCAATTTCTGATCTCCATCGGGTCTCCTTTCTTGTGTCGCAGTATTATGTTCGCCTCTCCAAAGCCCTGCGGAAAGCCCTTGCGATCGCGAAAGAAGCCGTCGCAAATTTCCTGCAGGAGGGGGCCAATCACTTGTCCCACCACCTGCAGGTGATCCATTGGCATGCCATCCGGCCCCGCCGCTTTGTTCCTTAGCAGATCTGTCAGTGCTCGCTCTATCTCGGGGATCAATATCTCTTCTTCCAGTCGCTGATGCTAGCGCTGAGTGAGGATTGTCCGACATTGGTCCCAAATCCTTTCACAGGCTGGCTCCCTCTGTTCTCTCTCCCCCTCTTGCTCAGTCTCTGTGTACAGATCCATGTAGAACTCCTGCACATAGCGGAGCAACTCCGGTGTGGCCACCGCCTCAGGCTCCTCCTCCCGAAAGGGGTGCCGCATGACCTTGATTAACCCCGGTCCTCTCTTGCTTCTCCCTTGTCTGAAAAATGCCGCCGTCATTCTCTCCTTGAGTCTTACCCACCTGGTCTTGGTCAACAGTTCCCACCTCTCCGCATCCTGTCATTCCCACTCTGCCCACTGCTCTTTGACCGTCGTCCACCGCACCCACCACTCCTCCTCCTCTCCCTCTCGTGGTTCTGTCCCCAATTCCTCCATCTCACTAATGTATTTTTCCCCTGTCCGCAGATGTGCCTGCCTTGTGACCTTTGCCCGTGCCAACATCACACGCCTTAGTTCCAACAATCCTTGTTGGAAGTGCCGTGTTGCCGATACTCCCTTTGTGCGCAATCCTGCCCAGTACTCCCAGTGCTGTTTTGCTAACCGTATGTGTAATGGATCTCGAAACATCCAATGGGGTACTGTCGGTGGCTGCGCCCATGTCTCCACTAGTGGCGGCAGCAAAAACTCAGTGAGCAGCAACTTGTGATCTGACATGGCCACCGGCAGCGCTACCACCCGGAGCAGTTTGTGCAGCAGGTCCCGCTGCACCCATGCCATGTCTAGCCTGCTTCTTCGTCCCAGTCCCGCCCCTATCCATGTGAACCCTTTTTCCTTCAGCCAAGTTTCCCGAAATGCGTCCTCCATCGCCATCTCGGCCATCATCAACCGGAGTGCTTCCGCATCCAGTCTCGGCGGCCCTGCCTGAGGGGAATCCAGTCCCGGCTGTACCACAGTATTAAAGTCCCCCATCATCATTGAATTCCGCGTATCCGGAACGTTCGTTGGGACATCCCGCCAGAACCATTTTTTTTGTGTCGTCTCCTGCGGGGCGTACACCGTGGACACTAGCAATCTTTCCCCCTCTGTTTCCACCCAAACCCATGCCCATCGTCCTTGAGTATCCAGGAAGTAGTCAAGCACCTGCCCTTGAAAGAATTTGGTCATCACTATGGCCACCCCTCCCATTGTCCCCATTGCCGGTGCCCATACTTGGAACCCCTGTCCCAATTCCAATCTTCCCCTCCCCAGGACCCGCTTTTCTTTGAGCTTTGTTTCAACATGCAATGAGATCAAAGTTAAATCCACATTCATCTTAACGTCCGAAAGAAAAACACATTAACCAGTGGTAGGTTAATTGTGTCGTTATGAAGAATATTGATGAAGTGAGGACGCGACAGAGTGTTAACAGCAAAGTTGCGACACCACTTCCCTCAAACCGTCATCGCAATAACCACGACAAAAGTCGCGTCACTAGGAACCACTACTTTTCCTTGTAGTAGCCAAATGCTACCACTAGCCATCCTATCCGTACTGCCGCCGTCCAAATGAAAGGAAATACTATGTCCGCAAGTACGACTTTATACCTTAAAACGTCGTCAATCTCTCTGGTTTAGTCCTAATTTACTCGTCGCAGTCAAACCCCGCCGGATCACTAGACCCACAATTACTTTTCAGTGTACGTAGGTTGCACACTTGAAATAGAAGCACAATAGTCGACCTAAAATTCAGTCTAGATACACAGATTCTATCGAATTTGCGAATGATTTTTCCCTCCAGCAGGTGCATGCATCTCAAAGGTTCGAAATCGAGCCAAATTTTCAACCAATAAAACAAACAACGCAAATCAAACTCAGGTACCAAGTTCAAGCCCCTACCGGAAGTCTCAAAGTTGCAAACCAAACAACGACCAACCAAAACAAAAAAACAAAGGGTTAAGAGTCTGGTGGCTGCTGACAGGTCACTGACTCGAAACTCGGCAAAGCAAAGCAACCCCATAAAACCCCATAACGACTCTAACTATTACTTAATCTCTCCTAACTAAGGCCCATAGGGGAATTCCCCAGTCTAAACAAACCTCTCGCAAACATCGTACTATGCTAAGTTCAGAAGATCAGCCTACAGTCAGTCAACAGTACTGCGAACAGTTTCCAGATCGGACTCTTGTCCTTGCAAAAACTCCTTAGGGCACGGTCGAACCAATCCTCTAGGTAATCTCTTCTCCTCACCTCCATTCTCATCAGGACGAAGGTGTTAGCTATCTCAATGCTAGTGCTTGAGTTCCTATGTCTCCTATGCGATGCACTGATCACAACTGTCTATCTTCGTGCGTTTTTGCACGTGCATGAAGAAAAGTCATGGGAAATCTGGAAAGGAAGATCTACCCCCTTTCTCAACTCTTCCGCGTTTTTCATCAACTGAACTATCCCCGGATACGGACACTTGTCTTGAATTCTTAATTTACACCCAAGAAATACTCATTCCTCCTCGACCTCGTATGTTTTTTTCAGCGAAAGTGTTTTATCATAACAACCCTCAAATTTCCTGATGATCCTGATCGCACTCGTCTTTGACTGCTCCCTCTTCGGGTTAAATGTCACGAAGATGGAGGTATCGTCAATGAAGCGAAGTCCCCCCACTCTCTTTTGGATTCCTAATGAGATCAAGAAATCATTTTCACTTTTAGCGCACATCGGGCATGTCAATGGGGGGCTTGAGCTTTTTCCCATTGGTATACCAACAACTTGTTTCATTAGAATTCCACCCACCTCGGTAAAGCAGAACCACAACTCAAAGGACACAAACTCCCTCAAATACGCGAAGGTCATCATTTCAAACCCTTCCAAATTTCAACTTTTGCTCAATACCGCTCCTCTTCCCGTTCTTTTAACAAAAATTTCATGATGTCCCATCTTTGAAAACCACAAGATCACCCAATCTACCGCTCTGCGAATCGTAGCATACGTCGTGCGGTAACTTGTTGAACATGTCTTTCACATTGTACGAGGCACCCATCACTCTCACATCCCTCCCACATCTCGCTAGTTTCTTATTAATCCTGACCAATCTCTGTTCCATCTGATAAACTGACTTGATATTAAAATGATTCGACTCCAGTAACGCAAAGAGCAAGTCATTAATCGCCTGTTCTACCTTCTTACAAGTCCTAATCGACGGTTCGTCGAAGGTTCGACATATTGGTTGGAACTTAGTGGTATCCTTATGTTTCGGTAAGGTATACACACTACCAACCTTCCCCTTTCCATTCCACTTTCCGTGTAAGCTCAAGCCTCGTTTGTCGTACTCCACCAGAGCCATCTTCAGTTCGGTCCCTTTATTATATTCACAGAGTCTATAGTTGTCGTTCTCAAAGAAGTTCGCCTCCATGCCTTCCGCGTACAAGGCCGAACACATTACCAAAGTGTCGCCAAAATTTTTGTCGAGCAGTGCGAGCACAAGGCCTTTCAGTCGCCCCTTTACAAAAAACACTTCTTTAAGACTTCCTCCTTTTCTCCACCCCTATTCTCCACAAAGCAACTTTCCACTTCCTCCCCGCTGAACTCAACATTTTCAATCGTCTCTCCGACCTCCCTCTCCCAATTCTTAAATGTTTCCTTCAGTTCCTCTGGCAACTTAATCGCTCTTTGCTCGTCTTCTTGCCGTGGTACATTCTTGGCATCCCTGACAATCCCCGGAACCCAATCCAATTCTCCAATGCGGAAATGCATGTGCCCATCCCTCTTGGGGTAGGGCATTCCAACACAAATACAGTTGGATGCACGTCCGTCGATGGTTCTGGATCAAGTCACCCACATTCGGGCATCTTGTCCATACTACCTGTGCTCGTCGCTTTACCATCTCCCTCATTGGTTTTATCAAATCCAATCCCCTTGTCTTCCTTCTAATCACTCTCATCATTTCGCTTTTCTTGATTCTCCCATCGTATTTCACTTTTGCTATGATTCACTTCCGTACGCTTAACCCAAATGTGTCTTTAATTGCCCTTGATGTTATAAACCTTGTTCATGATCGACTTCTTTTTGTCGTGAATGCTTTAATAGCTCCGTAGTATTTTGGTAACTCCGCCAAGTTCTTCTTCTTCAGTTCAACTTGCTTTTGCTTATTTTTAAACATCGTTATCATCTGATCTCGTAGTTTTAATATTGCTGGTGAAGCTTCAGTTACTTGGCGTAGAGTGACCTCACCTTCCCGCTCGAAGAGGGTCTTACACTTTCTTAGTGGCCTGGTCCTTTTTCCAAACTCCACACGAGTTTCACCGAAAATTCTCCTTACCACCCGCCATCCATCCGCCCATGTATCATCGCCCTTGCACTTCAGACAAACCTCACCCTTCCTCTTTTGCTTCACAATTTTTTTCAAAAGATCGACGATCTTCACAGTCACAAAACCGGTAGACTTATCCTGAATTCCAACGATACTTCTTGTCGAACCACTTTCATAACCCTTCTGCTCATTCTTCTCCGTACTTCTTCGTTCTTTCCTCTCAGGTTTGCCTCTACTCTTCTTCGCCTCCTTCCCATTTTTTCCCGGTCTTGAATTCAAAGCAGGGTACCAGTGCTTTATCAATGTACTTTCAACTGCCTCCAACTCCTTATTTTCACTAGTGTACAATGGTATTGCCACGTACTTGTGTGCACCCACCTTTCCCCACCAGTTATACAATGCTCTCTTCCTCTTATGTTCCCCTCTCTTACCTTGACAACAATGTTCTCTCCATCTTGCCCACAAGTCTCTCTCCGTCATCCCAATGTACACCTGCTTATGTCATGGCGAAATCAGCACGTAGACGCAGCTCCTTGATTTTTCTAAGTCAAACGTACCTTTCTCCATTTCGTCAACCCAATAGTTAACAAATTTTTTTCCCCACTTTGCTTCACCTGACAACACCAAGCCTATAACTGCAGCTCTCAGAACACGTTCTTCCTTTTTTTTCTTACCGCCCTTCTCCCAACGCCTTTTACAAACCTCTTGCGCCATTTTTCTGTAGTCATATTGTCTTCACTCAGATTCTTCGTCCTCAGAATCGGTGTCCTCCGGTGGACTAACCTCCACCTCTTCCTTTGCTGACACCATCCTTGGGCGCACCTGGTATGCCCCCTAGGAGTTCCCGACAAAGGTAGGTGTGTTGGATCGTAGGCCACTAATGACCTTCGGATTACCGATCTTTTGATGGCTAGCTCCCGATTTCCGTACGCCACTTTCTCCCTCTTACACACCTCTTTCAGTTCATCAATCCTTAGGGCGTCATAGAAGTCCCTACATTCTTGCTCAATTTTTTTTTCCCTCCAACTCCACACGAAGCCATGATGTGCTTCAGCGACAAGTCGATCTTTCATGGCGTCCCCGATGCTTCCGCTTCTCCTTTTGCCTCGCTCTTCAATTCACCAATTCTCTTTTTTGCATCATCTGACAGTCTCGTGTTAACTCTCTTTTCCGGTGTGATCATTGAAGGGCTATTGCCGACTTCCACCTTCAGACCTCTCTTTCGTTTTTCACTGATCTTCAGCTTTGCCGCCTTTTTCCTCAGTAACTTTAATTCTACATCATCTATCTCTTCTTCATCCGATTGTGTCATGATTACTATCCTTCTCCTTAACCTTTCTTTTTCCTCCTCCACTATTTATCCTCTTTGATTGAGCTTACTCTTCCTTTCCTATCGTACCTCGCATCCCGTTCCTCTTCCGCACGCCTCCGTTCTTCCAACTTTTCCAACTTCCTTCTTCTCTATTCTTCCTCTTCTTCACTCTCCTTTTTTGGCTTTCCTCCCCAACACCATTTGCACCAAATATTCCCTTATAAGGGCATTCGTGTTGTCGGTATCCCCTTCCATTCCTCCACCTTCGACGGATCTACTTCTTCTTGTCGTATCTTTTGTTGTCACACTGGATCTTCCCATTCTTCCCGCCAGTGGTACATATGCGGAGGGCACAAAGGGCACCCCACGTGCCTTGGCCTGCCAAAATTCTGCACCCTTGCAGATGAAATGTTTCCCTTCCCCGCATTTACAACACTTTCTCCCATCCGACGATCCTTCCCGTGATCCTGGCTGACCACTACTTCAGTCACTCATATTTGCTACCACAAAATTCTGCTCTTCTTCCACCTTCACCACCTAACTCTTACAATGAGTTTCGTAATTCCACACCGTGATATCCCACTTCCCTTGTCTAAAAAATTGCCACCTCATCTAGGTATAACCTCCTAGTAGGGTACGATCCTTAGTGTAGGAACAACAACTGACATGAACCGCAGATAGCAGTCAACAACATACACTCGACATGATTTCGACATGCAACGAGATCAAAGCTGAATCCACATTCATCTTAACGTCCGAAAGAAAAACACATTAACCAGTGGTGGGTTAACTGTGTCGTCATGAAGAACACTGATGAAGTGAGGACGCGACAGGGTGTTCACG